AACTTAACACTTAAAAATATTATGTAACTTCAGTAATAAGTGTTATGACTTGTCATATTTTTCAAGGAATTTGAAAGCATGTAATGAAATTATTTAAAATGTCTATTATCACGATTTTAAGTGTTAGCATTAGTTTTGTGTCATGAGTGTTCATTTCTGATACAGCACTTACCTTATTTCACATGCATAGCTATTTCAGTACAGTGCTGCCCTTTATATGCAAAAAGTTTTTTTGCATTCCACAAACCTTGAGCTCCCACATACCCGACAATCAACGTGGTTCAACTGCATCTTGTATGCAAATCATCATGCAACAACCTTCCACCAGTAGGAGTGTAACACACCTTCTGACTCACGTGACTCCCTATTCGATGCTACCAACTATCACTTCCCTTTAGGCAGTGTACCAGACCCACTCATAGGATACTTATTTTCTATCCCATGCACTGGTTTCTCCACCTGTTCAATGTGGGATTCTAGCTATATATGTGAGAAGAGGTAATGTACCATATCAGAAGTTATTTTCCTATAGGAAAATATGTTTCTGATAGGTACTTACCTCTCTCACACTTCCCACCCTTTTTCCCCACTGAAAACTGATGCTTTTCTTTTCTGCCTAATCTCAAGGTAGAATCAAAGAGAGGGAGTCACATGCATCAGAAGGGTGTGTTGCACTCCTATTGGTGGAGGGTTGTTGCATGATGATTTACATGTGAGATGCAGTTGAACCACATTGACAGAGATGTACGTGGGAGTTCAAGGCTTGTGGCATGCAAAAACATTTTGCATATAGAGGGCAGCACTGAACTGGAAAACTATGTACATGAGAGGAGGTAAGTACCTATTGGAAATAAATTTTAAGTATAAAAAAATAATTTTCATGTACTTAATCATTTCTACTGTACATAGGATGTGGAGTTTTTTAGCTACATTGGTGGATATGTTGGAATATGGCTAGGTATCTCACTGGCAAATGTATTGGAGGTGATCAGAGACTGCATCATTAAAGTGAAAAATTGGTACTTAGATCTAAAGGACCGATCATCAAAGATCATAAAACCAATTCAACAAGCTGTGGCTTCTACACAGGTGATAGAAAAATAACATAATTTGAAGACAAGATGTATTGATACTAAATCAGTTACTGTATTAGTCTCTTCTAGAATGTTAACTTGTACAATGCACGCAGAATTGTAGATTTGTTGTCATTTTGTGTAAATTGAATATTTAAAAGCACTTTATATTAGTCTCACGATTAGGTGTCCACTTGATGACAAAGTTGTGTTACAGAGAATTAGGTGTCTTATTTTGTACCTTTACTTACATCTACTTTTTAGTACTCTTGTAGTTGTAGTGTTTAATGCAAAACTCGTCCTACGTTGTCTTACAAATTTGAAAAGTTTAATGTGTGCTCAAATATAGAATTTGTTAAATGAAAAGACCAAGCTATACTATCCTTGGGTAAATATTTTCACTAATTGGTTTCTATATATATATCATAAAAAATTACAAAAAAAATCTTTCTTGTATTATTTTGTAAAATACAAAGATAAATTAATTTTCTACTTTTTATTTATTATCAATGTATGCAGATTCCTTTTATGTACTTGATTCAGTTTTTATTCTATAATATTTGCTTCTCTCAACATGATAAAAAATTACTAGCATGCATGAACTTCCAAAATTGAAATATTCTATAGAACTTTATATATATATATATATATATAGATTGCTACATATGAATAACAGGTTGCT